CTCAGGGGTGGGGGAAACCAGCCTGCTCCCCACGGCCTCAGAGCCAGCCCCAGCTGCAGTGCCCGGCTGTAAAGCCCAGCCCCACGTGGCAGGTGCCGCAGCAGCACGGACAGATGGTATTTGCGTTGCTTGGGCTGACACATAGAAGAGATTAATCAGCTCAGCAAATCCCCACCATACCATGATATTTATAGCTCCCCACCCCAGCCGGGGCCTGGGGCCGCTCGCCCTGCAGCCCTGGGAGAGCCTGGGCACTCCTGGGGTCCTGGATGCTGCGGGGGGCAGGGCTGTGAGCCTCAGGGTCTCACCACCACGCATCGCTCCCCTCCCTCCAGTGAACATCCTGACCGCTGTGGCCCTGTCCCGCCTGGCCACGAGGACCAAGAAGTCATCGTACTGGTACCTGCTGGCCCTGACCACCTCCGACATCCTCACGCAGGTCTTCATCATCTTTGTGGGCTTCATCCTGCAGACGGCCATCCTGTCCCGGGCAGTGCCCAGCGCCTTCATCCACACTGTCAACGTGCTGGAGTTCACAGCCAACCATGCCTCCATCTGGGTCACCGTCCTGCTCACCGTGGACCGCTACGTGGCCCTCTGCCACCCACTGCGGTACCGCACCGTCTCCTACCCCCAGCGCACCCGCAAGATCATCGCAGCAGTCTTTGCCGTGGCTTTGGCCACGGGCATCCCCTTCTACTGGTGGCTGGACCTGTGGCATGATGCCGACCCCCCCACCGCCCTGGACATGGTGCTCAAGTGGGTGCACTGCATCACTGTCTACTTCTTGCCCTGCAGCATCTTCCTAGCCACCAACTCCATCATCATCTGCAAGCTGAAGACGGGGCGAGTGGCCGGTCACGCCTGAGCAAGACCACGGCCCTCCTCCTGGCCGTCACCACCGTCTTCATCGTGCTCTGGGCTCCCCGGACCGTTGTCATGATCTGCCACCTCTACGTGGCCTCGGTCAAGAGGGACTGGCGCATGCACCTGGCCTTGGACATTGCCAACATGGTGGCCATGCTCAACACCACCCTGAACTTCTTCCTCTACTGCTTTGTCAGCCAAACCTTCCGGCGCACGGTGGCCGAGGTGCT